GTCTTGGGGAGGAGGGGGTCTGACTCCTGAGTCTTGGGGAGGAGGGGGCTGACTCCTGGGTCTGAGGGAGGAGGGGGTCTGACTCCTGGGTCTTGGGGAGGAGGGGTCTGACTCCTGAGTCTTGGGGAGGAGGGGGTCTGACTCCTGGGTCTTGGGGAGGAGGGGTCTGACTCCTGAGTCTTGGGGAGGAGGGGGCTGACTCCTGAGGCGAGAAGGCATGAGCAATCCTTGTCAGAAAACTCGGCTCTCACCCTCTGTCTGGGCTGGCACGCTGGCACCAGCTCTCAGTTCTTAGAACCTCCCTTCCCTTCCCCCGCCTGGCCCGGCCCAGCCCCTGGGGACCCACTATTTGCCAAGGCGGTGCCCGGGTCCTGGATTCCCAGGCCCCCACTTCTGGCTGCAGCTTGCCCTGGTTTGGGGATGTGGGGCAGGGTCTGAGTCGCAGACCCAAGGGGAAGTGGGTGGTTGCCTCTGGTCTCCTCCCCTCCCACCAGGCGCAGGTGTGTGGTGGCTTTTGGCGGGGCCCCAGGAAGGGGGCCCTGAACTGTCCCCAAGGCCAGGACTCCAGCCAGGAGGGCTCTCTGGGGCCTGGGCTCTGACCCCGAAGGGGTGTGGCTGGTTGATTTCTAGGCACGGGGTCCTGTGCTCTGGCCCCCTCAAACTTGAGCCCCTTGGATCGGGAGCCCTGCGGGTTTGTCCTTCTGTGTCCTGGGAGGAGACGGGTGGCTTGAACTCCGGTTGAAGGGCGGAGGGGGCTGAAGACCCAAATTCCAGGGTCTGGAGGGTGCGTGGACTCCTGGGTCCGAAGCAAGATGAGGCTTAACTTCTGGGGAGCTCTCTAAATCCGCTCCCATGCCGTCCCCGGCGCCCCTGCCTGCTCTCCCATTGAGAGGGGTACCACTGAATGCTCCCAAATGCCTCTTCCCAGGGGTCGCCCGGCTTGGCCTCGTCCCCTCCTGGGGTCCCCTGGGGCCACCCCCAGTGCCGCTCCGCTCTCAGCCCGAGCCGTACCTGGGCGCGCCCCGAGAAAGAGTGTCAGCAACAGCAGCCTCGAGGC